CCTTCTCCTCCCCTTCCTCTCCCCAAACATCACTCCCTTCTAGCACTGATGCTGTTACCTAGTTGGGTAATGAAACATCTGCAAGAAAACCACCCAGCTTGGAGAGCCCCATGGAGTCGAACTGCACCCAAAGGAGGGGCAGGTCAATGCTTTTCTCTTTCTTTTCTCCTTCATGCTTTTTTCCCCCTCTTATTTTCCCCTTGCTTTCCTTTCTCTTTGTATTTCTCTAACGCAACGTTTGAAGACCGAAAGTGGATCCCACCTGCAGCCGCTTGGTCGCCTGCCCCAGAGACCTCTCGACAGCTTTGAGGCCGTTTTCCAGCCGGAGGCTTTGCTGGCCGTGGAGCTCAAGTTCTCCCCGGACTTTCTCGATCTTCTCTCGGACTTCTTCCTCGTTGACTTGAGCCTCCTGCACTTCCCGCTGCAGCTTCTCGGCCTCCAGGCCGCTTTCCATATGGCGGATCTGGGCCAGGTAGTCCCTCAGCTGGCTTTCACAGTCCACGACCCCCTGGCGGGTCTCCATCAGCTGCTCCTTCAGCTGCTTCTCGTTCTCCTGCTCGATCTGGAGCTCGTTCTCCCAGAACTCCTCCTCCTCGATCTCCACCTCGTTCCTCTTGAGCTTCTGCTCCAGCTTCAGGATGTCATCCTCCAGGCTGAAGCTGAACTTCTGCTCCCAGTAGCGGATCTCGGCCTCATCCGAGTCCAGCCGTTTCTCCCCCGACTGCAGCTTCTCCGCCTGGAGGCGGACGAGCTTCTTCAGCTCGTCTGCCGTGGTCTTGCAGTGGAGGACTTTCTGCTTGAACTCGGACTCTTTGCTCTTCCCGAAAATGTCCATCAGTCCTTTGGCCCCACCGGTGAACGTCAACGACTTGCGCTTGGGCTCCCTCCTTTTGATGGACTTGTCGTTCGAAGGCCTGAGCTTGGCCAAGGGAGGCAAGCTTTGCCGGTACAAAGTCCTTTCCGGGATCCGAGCGACGCTGTCTGAGGTCGGCCGCTCGCTAAGCGACGGCCCGGTGCGCCGTAAGACGAGCTGCACATCGCCGGCGTGTTGTCCCCATTTGTTCAAGGAAATGATGGGGTTCTCGTGAGGCGATAAATGTCTCTCCGTATCCCGCCATTTTTCTATCAGGGTGTACCTCCCCGTACGACCTATAAAAAAAAAGATAGAAGAAATGAGGACCTGGACGTACAGGAAGTCCTTGACTTACGACAGTTCATTAATAGCCATTGGAAGTTACAACGGCCCTGAAAAAGGGGATTTGGGGTTGTTTTTCACACTTATGGCCATTGCAACGTGATTTACATTCGGATGCTTGACAATCGATTCATGTTTATGATGGTCACAGTGTCTCGCGATCCCCTTTTGCGACTTTCTGACAAGCAAAGCCAGATTCACTTAATGACCTTGTGACTAGCTGAATAACTGCAGTGATTCACTTAACGATGGTGGCCAGAAAGGTTGTAAAATGGAGCAAAATTCTCTTTAACAAATGTGTCCCTCAGCAACACAAATTTTGGAGCTCAATTGTGGTCGTATCTTGAGGACTTCCTGTAAGACCATTGATTACAGGTAGTCCTCGACTTATGATGGTTCACTTAGTGGCCGTTCGAAGTTACAACAGCCCTGAAAAAAAGGGATTTAGGGTTGTTTTTCACACTTACGGCCATTGCAACGTGATTTACTTTTGGATGCTTGACAATCAATTCATATTTATGATGTCATAAACATGAATCACTTGTCAAGCAGCCGAATGCAAATTGGAAATGTGTCTCGTGATCCCCTTTTGCGATCTTCCAACAAGCAAAGTCAATGGGGGAAACCAGATTCACTTAACAACTGTGTGACTCATTTAACATCCGCAGTGATTCACTTAGCAAATGTGGTAAGAAATGTCGTAAAATGGAGCAAAACTCACTTAACAAATGTGTCCCTTAGCAACATAATTTTTGGAGCTCAATTGTAACAGATAACAGATAATCAGAGTTGGAAGGGACCTTGTAGGTCATCTAGTCCAACCCCCAGGGCCCATTACACCATTTCTGACAGATGGCAGTCCAGTCTCTTTTTGAAAGCCTCCAGCGATGAAGCTCCCACAACTTCTGAAGGCAACTTCTGTTCAACAGGTTGATTGTTCTGTCAGAAAGTTTCTCCTTATATCCAGGTTGAATCTCTCCTTGATCAGTTTCCATCCGTTGTTCCTTCTCTGGCCTACAGGCGCTTTACAAAATAGCTTGACCCCTTTCTCCCTGTGGCAGCCCCTCAGATATTGGAAGGCTTCCATCATGTCTCCCCTGGTCCTTCTCTTCACCAGACTAGCCATGTCCAGTTCCTGCAACTGTTCTTCCTATGTTTTAGCCTCCAGTCCCCTCATCATCCTGGTTGCTCTTCTCTGTACTTTTTCTACAGTCTCAACATCTTTTTTATAATGTGGTGACCAAAACTGGATGCAGTACTCTATCTGTGGCCTTACTAAGGCTTTACAGAGTGGTATTAGTACCTCCCTTGATCTTGATCGTATCCCTCTGTTAATGCAACTTAGGATTGTGTTGGCTTTTTTGGGTGCTGCTGCACACGGCTGGCTCCTATTTAGCTGGTTGTCCACTAAGACTCCAAGATCCCTCTCCCAGTTCCTGCTATTGACCCTGGTTTCACCCAGTCTATATGTGTCCTTTTGGTTTTTCTTGCCTAAGTGTAGGACTTTACTTTTCTCTACATTGAATTTCATTTTGTTAGACAGGGCCCAGGGTTCTAGTCTGTCAAGATCCATCTGGATCTTGAGCCTATCTTCTTGGGTGTTGGCTATTGTGGTCGTATCTTGAGGACTTCCTGTAAGAGTATTGATTACAGGTAGTCCTCGACTTACGATGGTTCATTTAGTAACTGAAGTTACAACGGCACTGGGGAAAAAAGTGACTTATGACCGTTTTTCACACTTAATGACCGTTGAGCATCGACCAGGGTTACATGGGCAAAATTCAGATGCTTGGCAACTGACTCATATTTATGATCGATGCAGTGTCTCGGGATCACAAATGAGTCATTTTGCGACCTTCTGACAAGCAAAAGCTATGGGGAAAGCCAGATTCACTTAAGAACGGCGTTAGTAGCTTAACAACTGCAGTGATTCACTTAACAACGGTCTCAAGAAAGGTCGTTAAATGGGGCAAAATTCACTTAAGACGTGTCTCACACGGCAAGAGAAATTTTGGGCTCCACTGCGGTTGTTAAGTCAAGGACTAACTGTCACTGCAATGACAGGGATGAGCCAGCAGAGGGCAGAATCACACCACAAGAGTACTAGACCCAAATTTTCAAAGTTATTAGATGATCAAACTATTTACTAAACTGGTAAAGTAGTTTATCATAACTTAATGGAAACCACATTAGCACCAGCACTTTGCAAACTAAGACGCCACATCGATTAGAGTGTGGATGAGGCGTGTGGGTGTGTGGGTGTGGGTGTACATACATACATACAATCACTTTCTTAACATCAACAAATTATTTAATGCACTGGGAAAGCAGTTTGTGAGAATTTAACCTGAATCTACATCTGCAAATGAACAAGCCGTATCTACAAAAAGGTCTTGATGGGGCATGCATAAAATTCACTCCATAACATTAAAACTACTGCAGTGGAAATGTAGTTTTTGATCATTAAAACTACATTTTTTTAAAAAAAAAGTAGTTTCAATTGAATGAATGGTTTATATTTAAAAACCCCACCTAGGAAGGGGAGGAAGTAGAGTAGAATCAGACTTGCAAGATTCTTCATTGTGAACACCACGAGGTAGTGAGGGGAGGGGGGAAAGGGCGGAGCGGGGGAACTTGCCCCACTCGCCCCACGCGCCTGGCTTGGCCACTGGGCTGCTTCTTTCCGCTTCTTTCTTCTTCTGCTTTTGCCTGCACGCAAGGAAAGCAGCAAAAGTCTTTCTTTCTCTCACCCAAACTCTGCCAGAAATGAGTCTTTGGGACCCTGCAAGGCCTCCTGCTCCAAGAGGCTGCACCAGCAAAGACTCATTTCTGGAGGAGTTTGGGGTAGAGAAAGAAAGACTTCTGCAGCTTCTGCTGCTTTCCTTGCATGAAGCCAAAAGTCTCTCTCTCTCCCCCTGAGAACGGAGCTGGAGACGGTATCCTGCGATCCCAAATAAAGAACGATCGATCAGTAGGAAAACGGGGTGGGGGATTTTCCTACAGACTTTTTGGGGGGATTTTCCCAGGGTCTCTGGTCCGTGGGATTTAAAATTACGAGTTTGGTGGTCCATGAGATCCAAAAGCTTGGCGACCCCTGATGTTTTGTTTCACACTTATGACCACGGCAGGGCTGCTGGGGGTTTGCAGGGGTTCGGGAGAGCCCCTAGCTAAGATTCTGTGCAATTCGGAGAACCCCCAAATCCCACTCCTGGCTGGTCCTGCCCACCCCTCCCTGCCTTTCCCTGCCAAGGAGTCCCCCTGCGGCCTGTTTGGGATGCAGGTAAGTGTAAGGCGTGCAGGGAGGCTTGGGGAGGGCAAAAAATGGGCCTCCCAGAAGTTCGAGAAAGCCAGAAATGGGCCCGTTTCCATCTTTTAGAGACCACTGTTCAACTGAAGATGGAATGATTGTATTAATTTTTTTTAAAAAAATACTATCATTGTTATTATTATAAAAAGATAAAAGAAAGAACAGAGTAGACTTGAGTGATGTCCAGAATACAAGAAATAACCTTCAAATCTTCCAGGCCTTGAAAATTCTCAAATGTTGGATCGTTAAAATGTAAGGGAAGGCTGGACTCGGTTCCAAGAATCCTGAGCACAAAACATTTCGAATTCAGAACTTTTACGAGCTCCTGAGTCAGGGACTGAATTGAATCCAAAACAGTTGTTCCCACAACACAAATTCTGAGCTCAATCTCCTTCTGGGTGACATAGTGGTTAGAATGCAGTATTGCAAGGTAACTTTGCCCGCTGCCAGGAGTTCGATCCTGACTGGCTCCAGGTTGACTCTGCCCTTCTGACATCAATAAAATGAGGACCCAGATTGTTGGGGGCAATAGGCTGACTCTGTAAATCTCTTAGAGAGGGCTGTAAAAGCACTGAAGGAAGTGCTACTCCTTCCTTCCTTCCTTCCTTCCTTCCTTCCTTCCTTCCTTCCTTCTTTCCTTCCCTCCCTCCCTCCTTCTCTTATTCCCTTTCTCAATCTCCTTCTCAGTGACATAGTGGTTAGAATAAAGTATTGCAAGGTAACTTTGCCCACTGCCAGGAGTTTGATCCTGACTGGTTCCAGGTTGACTCCACCCTTCCGACATCAATAAAATGAGGACCGAGATTGTTGGGAGCAATAGGCTGACTCTCTAAACCTCTTAGAGAGGGCTGTAAAAGCACCGTGAAGTGGTACATAAATCTAAGCGCTATTGCTATAAAGGCTGTTACACTCCTCTGTGTAATCAATTATCCTGATTGCATTTGATTCCTGATCCGAAATATCACTAAATATTTTAAACTCAGGGTTGAAGCGTGGGGTGCTTGATAATCTTTGTAGTTTTCTTACTGACATCTCCTTACCCAACTAGGTAACATCATCCATTAGGGTGGTGTACAGTTCACTTTACATGGATGATGTTACCTAGTTCGGTCAGGGCAGAATTAATGGTCCAACAGAACCTTTTCTCACTCGCCTCCAACTATCAATATCGGGAGTGTAAACTCACCTATAGCCTGAGCAAGTGCTATAACCACTTCCTGACATGTTGTAATTTCCGTTACTCCGCAAACAATCCTTTGGACTCCATCAACCCAAACTTTCAGCTCCATGGTCTTCAGATCACCTGATGGCCAGGCACACAATCTTCAGGATGTCAGGTCATATTTACAGCTACGTCTGGTAGTACCAACATATTGCGGCCATTATTATCTGGAAAAGACAAAAGAGAAAAAGGCTATAATTTAAATTATGTCCACCGTAGCATTTTCGGGGGTTTAAAGTCTAAAGGGGACGTGGTGGCTCAGTGGCTAAGATGCTGAGCTTGTCGATCAGAAAGGTTGGCAGTTTGGCGGTTCGAATCCCCAGCACTGTGTCACGGAATGAACTCCCGTTACTTGTCTCAGCAGCTTCTGCCAACCTAGCAGTTCGAAAGCATGTAAAAAATGCAAGTAGAAAAATAGGGACCCCTTTGGTGGGAAGGGAACAGCGCTCCCTGCATCTTTGAAGGCATTTAGTCCTGCCAGCCACATGACCACGTTGAAGTCTTCAGATAGCGCTGGCTCTTTGGCTTTGTAAGTTCTCTCATTCTCTTTTACATCTGTCTCTTTCTCGTTCTCTCATTCTGTCTCTTTCTCATTCTCTCTCTGTCTTTCTCGTTCTCTCATTCTCTTTTCTGTCTGTCTCATTCTCTCATTCTTTCTGTCTCTCTTTCTTGTTCTCTCATTCTCTGTCTCATTCTCGTTTCCTCTCTGTCTTTCTCGTTCTCTCGTTCTCTTTTCTGTCTCATTCTCATTCCCTGTCTCTATCTCTCTGTCTGTCTCTTTCTCTTGTCTTTCTTGTTTTCTCATTCTCTGTTTCTGTCTGTCTCTTTCTAGTTCTCTTTCTCTGTCTCTTCTCTTTCTCATTCTCCCCCTAGAGCTGGAAACGACTAGCACGCATGTGCGAGGGGAACCTTTACCTTTACCTAAGGTCCAAAGATTTTTCTCCCCATATACAATTTGTGCTTTGAAAATTGCAATCCCGAGTGCAAACGGCAGGCGCAATTTCTCAAGAAAGCAGATTTATTGGCAGTCTTCGGTGTACGACTACAACGGAGTCCGACATTTCTGCTGCTAAGTGAAACATTGACTAAGCAAGGTTCTGCCTTACTTTACGGCCTTTCTTGTCACCATTGTTAAGCGAATCCCTCGAGGTATTAAAGTTAGTGACTGTTCTGACCCAAACCTTGTTCCAAGGAAACAAACACAAAATGGAGGTAACAGCAAAACCTTTTAATAATTCTTTACGAATTCTGTTCCTTCCCGGTTAAAAAGCTGTTTCAAACTAATTGTCTTTGATAAGAACGAGCCTTGCCAAGGTGGTGCAAGGCTGCCAAGAATACTAGGTAAAGTTACTAAGAAATATTTCAGACACAAAGAGTCTCCAAACACAAACTAAGAGAGTCTGAATGTCCACAAGGCTTGAGTGCAAAAACTTCGTTGCTTCCTGCAAAGAACTCCAGTTTCTCAGCTGGCTTTTATCCCTTAAGGGAGGGGCCATCACCTTGCAGCCTTACTCCTGAGTCGCCCGTGCTGCTGCAGCTGCTCTTTCCTTCGAGCAGCCCTGTGTGCACATGCACTGGGCATGGGCTCCTCAGGGGCCTCTTCATCACTGCTGAGAGCCTCCACAATCTCTGAAGGCAGCACTCCACTCCCTGATGGTCCTGGCCCCATCCCTGCATCCCACGCAGGCCCCTCATCTGAGTCCTCGCTGTCCAAGGCCTCAGCCGTCCGCACCTGCTGCCAGCAAACCACAACAGCAAAACGGTTGTTAAGTGAGCCCGGCTCCCCTTGTCAGAATGTCGCCAAAGGGGAATCACATGACCCCAGGATGCTACAACCATCATATATACGAGTCAGTTGCCAAGTGCCTGGATTTTGATCACCTGACCATTAGGATGCTGCAAAGGTCCTAAGTGTGAAAAATGTTCATTTTTTCAGGGACGTTGTAACTTTGAACGGTCACTAAATGAACTGCTGTAAGTCAAGGACTATCTGCATGTTAAAAAGACCATACATTCCACCAAAGCACACTGGGTTCATTATCAACAACATTATTATTATCACCTTCACCACCACCATGTATTTTATTATTATTATTATTATTATTATTATTATTATTATTATTATTATTATTATTATTATTATTATTATTTGCGGTGGCCTAGAGGGGGAGCACTCGCCTCACAATCAGGAGGCTTTGAGCTCGATCCTAGGTAGAGACAGATATTTCTCTCTCAGGACACGATGAGAATTTATCTGCTGAAAAAAACCGTTCGCATTGGTGACAGGAAGGTTATCCGGCCAGGATAACACTCAGCTCCATTCAGTTACCCAGAATCCACCCGTCAAGGGATTATGGGGTGAGGAAGAGGAGGAGGAGAAGGAGAAGAAGAAAGAAGAAAGAAGAAAGAAGAAGAAAGAAGAAAGAAGAAGAAGAAGAAGAAGAAGAATTGCTTGAGCTTCATTCCTATTACCCAAATCCCAGAAACAAAACATGGCGTTAAAAGAATAGGTTGTAACATGTTCCTCATTAAAAGCAGTCCTTCCTGTAGCTTTAGATACATTTAACTTCAATTTTCAGCCAACAATTGTTACTACAAAGAAAAGTACTAGAAATTTCGTTTCCTGGCCTAGGATTTTATTATTGCGGTGGAACTTATTAATAGAACCATCATAAGCGCTTGGATAAACCTTTAACTATAGCACAGATATGGAGAAGCAGCCAGACTGCCTTTCTAAGTCTTGATGTAACTTATATTTAACTTGTATTTAGAAAAGCGAAGTCTTGATGGAACATATTAGCAACATACAGGTGATCTTCGACTTACAACCACAATGGAGCCCAAAATGTTTGCTGCTAAACAAGACAGTTAAGTGAATTTTGTCCCGTTTTACGATGTATCACAGCCCAATCCAGTGTGGTTTCCACCATCTACTGACCGCCTTGGACTCTTTGGTTAAATCTAAAATGGCCTCTTTGGGTGCCACCCACAAACTACTTTTTTAGAAGTCTGTAGAGATTCTCAGTTCCCCAGGTCAGGCTTGTCCCCAAGGTGCTTTTTTTTTCAGGAGGCAAGTGGATTTCTGGTTTTTTCTTTTGAAGCTTCTCATCCAAGAAGCTTCTTCAGCTCTGAGCAGATGGTGGGGAATGGAAGGATTTATACTCCTCGCAAACAGCTGGTCATTTGCATCCTTTTAGATGGTCATTGAGGCCACTTGGGGGGTTTATCTGTGCCCTCAGGGTTACCCGAGTGGTGCAAATGGTTCCTGTAGTCTGCAATCCCTTTGGAAAGTCCAGTTGCCTCCTGAAAAAGGACCACCAGGACTTGGAGGACAGAGAATCTCTACAGACTTTTAGCTATACAATTTGAGATGAACACCCTTCGGATGGTGTGGGAGTAGGAACGGATTTCCAGTATTGCAGACTATAGGAACCAGATAAACAGATAAACCCTCGAGTAATCTCAACGGCTCCCTAAAATGGATGCAAATGACCAGCTGCCTGCAAGGAGTATAAATCCTTCCCTTCCCCACCATTCAGTCAGAGCTGAAGAAGCTTCTTGGATGAGAAGCGAAACATTTTCAAAAGGAAAAAAACAACAAGTAAATCCAGTTGCCTCCAGAAAAAACGCACCCAATTTGGGATACTTTTCTTAGAAATACATTTTAGCGACAGGAATTCAATTTCTGGATGGCAATGAGTCATTCCCTAACAAGTGTCTGTCTGTGCATGTCATAGGATGACGCTCGATTTAAAAGATAATTGAAGTCGGACAATGCGCTGACTCTGTGAGATGTTTCTGCTGGTGATGAAAATGGCATCTTTTCCTCTGGTTTGAAATACTCTCTACTATTCCTTTCGCAAAGGGCTCTTGAAAAGAGGACCAAGCAAATTCTTATTTTATTTTATTCAAACGATTGTGGGAACACGTTTCCTAACCAAAAGGAAAAAATAAAATCACAATCTGTTGTGCCATTCATTTATTAGCCTCTTCAGTGCATGCTACCCACTCCCTAAAATTTTACAAAGCTTAGGTTCCCGATAATAAAACCATAAGAATACATCAAAACATCGACATTAAATTTATATAATCTCTCACCCTTGTTGCATGTACACAACTCACAAAACTGCAACGGAGAAGAAATTTGGAAAAAAAAAATAGCACCGAAATTTCACCCCAGATTTACTCTTGCTTTACAATTTTGTCTCCTACAACTAGTTTTGCACGAAAAGTATTGTTTATATATGTGTTCCTGCTTTAGTGGCCAATTTTGCTTCTGAGTGAGCAGATAAATACGTGCATTTCTATTACCACCTGTTCACATACAGGTAGTCCTCGACTTACGACCACAGCTGAGCACCAAATTTCCATGGCTAAGCAAGACAGTTCTTTAGTGAAGTCTCCGGTTTTATGACCTTTCTTGCCACAATTTTTTAGTGAATCACTGCACGTGTCAAGTTAGTGACACGGATGCTAAGCGAATCTGGCTTCCCTATTGCTCATCAGAAGGTCGTAAAAGGGAGTCACATGACCCAGGGTCATGCCCTGAATGTCGGAGTCTGAGAAGGAGGGAGATGAACAGCTGACAGGGAGCAGGAGTGTGGCTCCATTGGCTGTGGAGGAAACTGGGGAAGGGCAAAGTCCAGCTGGGCAGAGCAGGAGAGAGGTAGAACAAGGGAGAGGGAGTTCAGAGGAAGACCCAGGCCCACCCCCTCTTCATCCTAGGGCACGCAGGGAGGAACGGAGAAGGGAGCAACGTGGGTTGCATGGCTTACGGGAGAGGAAAGGGCCCTGATTCCTTTCATTAGCCACAGCTGGGAAGAGAGTTTAAAAAAGATGCATGCTGAGTGTGGCAGGTGCTGGGAACAAACATGAGTTTATCTTGTGTTGACTTTGCTTATCTGCGTTCCTGGCTTCTTCCCAACCATGTTGAGTTATTGTCGTGCTTTCAAGTCTGGAATTCCTTCTCCTGCCCTGCTTGACTAATGACCTCATTTTGCCTTGATTGGACTTATAGTTACAGTTTTTGTTGACCATGTTTTGGAGTTGATTTTCTGCAGCCAGAGGCTGTTTTTCTCCAGCCCAGAAGGTAACCAGGACATTGGGGGCAAAGTTGGAGCTAATAGAGGGATTCCTACTGATTACTTGACTGTGATGCCTTTGTGCCACACCCCTTTGGGTCATCACACAGCGACCATCATAAATATGGATCAGTTGCCCAACGTCTGAATTTAGATCATGTGATTGCGGGGATGCCGCAACAGTTGTAAGTGTGAAAAACTTCATGTCCCCTTGTTCAGTGCCGTTAGGAAGTTGAACTGTCATTAAACAAACCATTGTAAGTCGAGGACTACCTGTATTAATAAATACTCTCTTTCCTCTCTCTTTTCTTCCACACCAACATGTGCAAAAAGACTGAGCTTTTCCACCACTTTTACTTATATGGTTAGTCCTTGAGTTACGTTCATTTAGTGACCATTCAAAGCTACATCAACAGAAAAAGCGACTTATGACCATTTTTCATACTTACGACCCTTACAGCATCTCCACGGTCATGTGATCAAAATTCAGATGCTTGGCAACAGGTTCATGTTTATGATGATCGCAGTGTCCCATGGGCATGATCCAGGGGTGGGATTCTACCGGTTCGGACTGGTTCTATAGAACCGGTTATGATTCAGCACAGTTCAGAGAACTGGCAGATCGTTCCCCTGGCTGGCCCCGCCCCTCTCCACCCACCCGTCCCGTCCTCGCCCTGCCCAGTCAGTCCTTATTGCACATGCCTGACATCACTGACTGCTTTCTCCCCTGCCCAGTCACTCCTTAAGGCATTTCTTCCCCCCCTTCTGACGATCAGCTGTTCCGATGATCGGCTGTGCCGGGATCCCTCTCACTGTCTTATTGCTTCACCCAGGAGGCCTCCTTGAGGCCCAGGAGGCAAAAAGGGGCATGGTGTGTGTGTGTGTGTGTGTGTGTGTGTGTAGTGTGCGTGTGTGCTGTGCCCCCCTCCTACGTTCTATTTTTTGCCTTCCTAAGCCCCAGAAAAGCCTTTTGGGAGCAAAAACACCCCCCAGGAGGCTTCCCTGAGGCCCAGGAGGCAAAAAAAGGGGGGGAGGTTGCTGCAAAAAAGGCCACACCCACCCAGTCACATGGCCACACCCACCTAGCCATACCCACAGACGTGGTTGTTACAAAAAATTTGAATCCCACCCCTGGTGTGTGATCCCCTTTTGCGACCTTCTGATGAGCAAAGCCAACGGGGAAAAAGCCAGATTCACTTAACAACCGGCAGTGATTCGCTTAGCAACGGTGGCCAGAAAGGTCATAAAACGAGGGGGAAATGCTCTCACTTCGCAACAGAAATTTTGGGCTCCATTGTGCTCTTCCATGTCATTTATTTTTGGATGGATTCAAAAGTTGCACGGGGTTCGTTTGCCCTGATATTAACTGTGGCTTTTACCATCAAATGATTTCAAGACAAAAGAAGAAAAATGAACAGGACAGGTGGCTCATTTAATTCTATCCCTTCGCCCTGGCGCTCTTAGGCTTAAAGTCTTAGCAGCAGCAGCAAAGGTTCAAAGCCTACCAGCTTAATCCAGGATGAACAAGACATGGATGAAGAGTTAAAATAAGGTTGCACCTTTCCAGGACGACTGAAGAAGTATTAAGGGATGTGCTGAATTCTGAAGAGCAATGGCGGAAAAGAATATTCTGAGCATAACTGGATCGAGAATGAAGCTGGCGTACGAAGAGAAAGGATTGAGTTTCTAAATGTCTTGGGAGATACTTACTTAGTCATTCAGGTGATTAGTTGTCCCAAAAGTGCTTTTTCAAATGGCAACTGGACTTTGTTGTTTCCCTGAAGATGTTTCGCTTCTCGTCCAAGAAGATTCTTCAGTTTTAACTTCTAACTCAAAACTCATTGCTAAGGAGCAACTTCGTCTTAAATCTTCTTGGTGCTTACTACTGCTAGGCACAATTCACCATGGAAGTGGGAAAGAGCAACAGATGAGGAAAGGACTTCAGTCATGATTCAACTCTTGAAAAATGGATTTCTGGATCTTATGGTGTGCTAAGGGCTGGAGAAATCAACCAGTAGTTGGTCCTTCAAACATTGCCCATTCTTTGTAGCTCAGGGCTGAACTGTGGGGTCCTTGGTGCTCTCTGAGCTTGGTTGTTTTCTTGAAGATGTTTCATGACCCAACTGGGGAACATCATCAGTGCTAGAAGGGAGGGGA